GGGACACCTGGATGTGTTACCATCCTATGGGAGGCTCCTCTCATATCCTTGCATGGGAAGCTGGAGATGACAGAGGGGAGCTCACCCCTTCACATGGATTCGAACCTCTGACCTTCAGGTCAGTAGTTTAGCCAGCACAAAGTTTTAACCCATTGTGCCACCGCGGCTCCAATCCGGATGCTTGGTATCAAAACTACTCAAAGGAAACCACTCCGATTTTAACTTTTTTTGCAAAGCAGTTGCATTTTTTCCTGATTTGAGACTTGTTTTTCTTTTTCTTTTTCTTACAAAAATGATCACAACCTAACTTTTCACTAGAAAGTCGTCCAGAGCCCAGTCCCAGGAAAGGTTATTATATCCTTCCCTTTACAGTTTCCTTAAAACTGGGATGGGAATCATGTAGTCTTCCAGGTATTTTAGACTGCAACTCCCATCAGCAGAAACCATGCCAAGAACTTTTTGAGGGTCTTGTGGCTCACACTTCTGATTCTCTACACAAGGACCATAACTGGAAACAAGAAGTGACAGAACCAGATTATGTACTCACTCAGAGCCATTGGTGATTCATGAATATTCAGACGGATACAAATGAGGAAGTGTCTGTTGCATAAGCATGTAGTAGGAGTCTTATTATCTGTCACTCTGGAAATAGTTTTTTGCTGATTTTCTTAAGTATTGTACCCCTACAGGAATTAACACTATACTTACCAGAACTGTTGCTGAATGTTTTGCTTCATGTCTTGTATTAAAGTAAAATATTTTACTTGTTGATTATAGTACAAAAAGCAGGAGGGAATTTCTCTATTATAATTTTTTAATAATAGTGCATTTTACTCCTAGATCTTGTTATCGGCTTGTTTTATGTATTGTACAAATGCTTGTTTATCCTTTTGTGTGATACATGCCATCCTTTGTCAAGCAATGCTTCCTTGTGCTTTGCAATGGACAAACAAGAAGGAGAAAATTGATACAATCTCACATTGAAAATGGTAATATTCATAATCCACTTCCTTAATATTCAGTTTCTGACCTCCAAGAAGCTGTTCTGGAACAGACAAAGATAAAAAGGAAGATTACGTATTAAGGTTCCAGTGTATTTCCAGGTCTGCCAGACCTGACTTGTCCAAGTCTGGTTATAACAATGACACTTCCTCATCACAAAAGCTGTGTTGTTTTCTATGAAAGTTTGTAAATTGAGCTATGTTTCTTAAAAGTGAAATCTATGGCTCAACCCAAGCCTTGCTGTTAAGTTGTATTATTAGCTGAGACCCTTTCCCATGGCTGCTTCCATCTGGTTGTATCTGCAAGCCCTTGCTTGAGGCTGGACTGTCACTTCTGAGCAATTTTCCTTGGTGTGAAAAGGTTCTGCCAGCTAAACTCTTCTTCCCTTTCCATACATGGCTGCCTTTAGAGTATGACAGCTTTGGCCTTCTGTGGATTGCTCTACCTTCAGACCATGCTTTTGGAGCTTGATTTTCTGTATGCTTTGGCCTAGTCTGCTTCTGCTGGTCTTTCTAAACTTTGAAACTTCAGGAGTGTGATCTCTTTCCAACCTGGATTGATCTCTTGCATAGAAAAAAGCCAGCTTTTCTGAATTCTGTATTATAGGCTGTAACTGCCAAGATTCAATCTTCTATTCTGCATATAATAAAGAATACAGGAGTCTGCACTTACATGAAATTCTAGATGATTTTGTAAAAGTTGAAGGAATTTAGAGACAATATGCCGAGGAATCAAATATTAATGTTACCTCTAAGTATTCCTTGCCTAAGAAAACTCTTTGGAATGCCCATAGAGTCACCATAAGTTGATAGATGACACAAAAGCACATGCACTCACATGGGCATTGCAAGGTGTACATGTCAATGAGAATCTTTGGGTTGGCAGAGTTTGAATATTTTGGGTCTAGATTTTTCTACTGTCTTGAACATTGTCCATAGGCCTCCTCTTGAAATGTGTTGGAGGATCTTAGGGAAGCAACCAGCCAACTTTTGTGCCAATAAATAGTGTTTGAAACCAGCAGTTGTTGACCAAGCAATGATTCCCCATTTGATCTGAGACAAAAATTCAGGCCAATGTGTCATTTACTTTTGAAGCTTTCAGATCATTGTTGGGCAAGGTGCTGCTCATAAGATTTTGTTTAGCAGCAGCTCCCATTATCTCAAGCCAGTATAGTTAAATTATGATGGTTGATGGGAGCTGCAATTCAGCAGCATATAGGACCACACATTGCCCAAATGCATAAATATGACGTTCTCTAGTATCCGCATTTTTCCTTTTTTGAATTGTGGTGTCTCTTTCTACAGAGGCTTGCCTCTATGTGCTTCTAAATTCTGTACACTTTTAACAATTCAGCTGTGCTATGAATATTGATGATGGACTCTATTCTGTATTATCTGCTTTGCATTTGATTGATTCTAATGAGGTTTTATTTTCTGTCATATTACTCTTTTTATTGTTGTGAGATACTCTGAGCACCTTGTGTTAGACAAAGCAACTGTCACATTAAACAAAATTAAGCACACCCTCCAATTGGAGCAGTGTTTGCAGTTGCTTTTCCCACACTGCAGTTTGAGTGTTTCCCAGTCAGTATTTACATCCAGTAGATTCATGTGGTACAATCTGCATGGGTTGGAATTACGATAAAATTTGTGTCTAACAAAATGGTTAAATTTTCTGCATGAATAAAAATGTTGATTGTCAAAACAGGACAGTGGGGATGTTTCTTTAGAGTGGGGAACTATGGAGGTAGAGAAGCTTTCAGAGGTACAATCATCCATTTTCCATCTTCTGTTCCAATGCATTACTAGCTGCATCTTGTCTTACATGTAAAAACAGAATATTCTGGATAAATTGAGCTGTAGTGCAAACTATATTTGTCTCCTTGAACGGCCATTCGGGACATTGAGATTTTTCTCAGATCTGTTTATTTCTTAAGATTATTTGCCAAGTGCTTTGAATCACTGTTGAGAGCGCGATGAAATTCTAAATGAGCTGTGTTTGGTTGAGTTGGATTGAATACAAAGGTCACATATGTTTCTGTTTCCTGAGTGGGGGTAGATAGTTCTCTGAGATTTAGATGTTAAGAATAAATGTGATGAACGTTAACTAATTTGTACTGCTCTGCAGAACAGCCCACAGCATTGCTCTTTGGGGTGTGTTAGAAAGTTTCCTCCAAGTTAGAGCTGCAAGATTCCACCTGGATGGAGCTTTTTTCAAGGGACTCATATTTTACAGTCCTAGATAATAATCCCTAAACTCCTTCCTCTTGGTTGGTTTACATGTTATTGAATCTTATTATGGTCTTTTGTTTATTAAGAAAATGCTGATCTGTGTAGGGGATTCTACAGTCCTACAGAGATAGACAAGTCAGCAAGGGTTCATTGAGACATTAATAACTTATAATAACTGCTTGCCAATCATGTCTGTAATGAAGACCAAACTCGAGTGTATATGGAAGAATGCAGAAACAGTAAGAGTGAAAGCTCTATAGACTTTCCCCCCACCTCCTCAGCCTGGGAAATTGGCTGGGATAGGACATGGAAGTAGCATTGACAGTATGTGTCTGGAAAAGATTTACTGAAGAAAATGGCTTTCTGGAAATGTTTATAAGTATGCCTTTAGTTAGCCCAGTGGAGGAACTTGGTAGGAATTGGAGACCTTACTCCTTCTGTCCCTAGCCTGTAGGTTCATTTTAAAATTAATTACCACTTAATCATCCGGTGGCGCAGTGTGTTAAACCCTTGTGCGGGCAGGACTGAAGACCAATAGGTTGCAGGTTCGAATCTGGGGAGAGCACGGATGAGCTCTCTCTATCAGCTCCAGCTCCTCATCCGGGGACATGGGAGAAGCCTCCCATAAGGATGGTAAAACATCAAAACATCTGGGCATCCCCTGGGCAACGTCCTTGCAGACAGCCAATTCTCTCACACCAGAAGCAACTTGCAGTTTCTCAAGTCGCTCCTGACACGACAAAAAAACAAAAACCATATATACTTATGTAAAGACCAGCTCATTTATATGTTGAGGGAAGGTTTAGGAACCAAAATTATGGTTTCAAAATATGACTTGTGAATAATTTGAAGGTCATTCTATCAAGAAGGGAAAACACCAATGTCCTCTCAGAGATCAGCTGCTCCTGTTGCCATTTCCCCGCTCAGTCATTGAAAAAGGCCAGAAACAATGTCACAGCGGAGAGAATTGAGGGGATTGCTGCTTCTTTTGGGTTCTGCTGGGTTGGACTAAGCTCTTGCTTTTCACTACTCTACTCAGAGAAAGGAATAGTTAAGAATCAAGATACAGTACTCACATTGAGTTGTGGATTAATTGACTCTGGTTTTTGCGGTTGATTTTTTTGACTAAAAATTGTAGACTTATACATGAGTATGTAGGGGATTTACTTAGTGGTGCATTTAGCTGAACATGTTCTTCCTTCTCCCAAACCTTAGCATTGTATGTAGAAAGGAATAGGGATACTGGGAGCAGGCTTGCATGTCTGCTCCAGCCCCTACCATAGTTTTAACCTTTATGTGAGCCAGCTGAATTACTGAATAGAAATATTTTATAAGTATGTTTTATAGATGCACTTTTTTGTACAACAAGAGTAGTATCTATTGTATGATATGTTCTCCTGTCCTTATTTTGCCTTTGAAGAAGCTTAGGGAGCCTTATTAAAAATGTGTCAATGTGTTCATTTGGGCACCATATTCCTCTGTGGGTTTGCTTCACTCTGAGGGTCAACTTCTGAGTTGAATAGGTTCTTGTTGTGGCTTTAAGCTGTTATGCATGCATACATGGATATGAGGACCAAAGCACCATGTTGCACACGAACTTGCTATTGGAAAGTGACCCCTGATGTTTAGAAATGTCTTTTTTATTTGGCCAAATGTTGGTGGATTGAGGTGTTAGATATAAATGCTAGATCATGTTTTTATTCTGTTCTGCTAGTATGTGGTTAATCATTTTCATTGTGTTCTTCATGTGCTTTTCTTTTCTTTCAGGTTGTAACAGGATTACGACGGAGCATGAACCTCAAGATGAGGCACTAGTGATGCAAAGGCAGTAAGTATTTTAAAACTGAGTTTCCAGGGTTTATTTTTAAAGCTGTGATGACACTCTTTCTAGATCTTTCCATTTGTTTCTGAATCCTTTGACTTTCTATGTGTCCAGATGGCAGACTTCTCCCGCAGGTCACTTAGAGACTGTAAAAAAAAAAACTTGAATCATGGTGTAAATTCCCTGAAGAAAGGTTTCAACTAGTGTGGGAGAGTGTAGTAAACTTACTGGTTCAGGTTTTGTACTGTATCTTGTCTGCCATATGAGCTGGGAGGGATTAGGATAGAGCTCTGTACAGTTTCTGTCTGGGTGACAGAAGTGACATGCATCACTGTTCATGACATTAGCCTCCCCCTCCAAATTTTAGAAGCGCTTTTGGAGCTGGGGTGGATGGCATGGTATTTGCATGCAATTAAAAGGATCAGTTTCCAACAGATGGCAAGTGATCTGATTTTCAGATGACTACATGATTTCAAAGTTCTCCCATGGCTGTATCATAACAGTTACAATTAGTCATTCATTGCTCTGCTCATTCGCTTGTAGTAGCCTTGCTTGGCTCTCCACCCTGTGGCATACTCATTTCTTCCTACGGGTCATTGTCATTACCTGTTTCTATTCTTCTCACTGCCCTCTTCCTCTGCGTGCTTTCTTCCTTTCTCCAGCATTTCTCTGATACTCATCTCCAATCCAAGCTCTGCCATCTAATTCTATTTATACTGGGTTGCTGTGAGTTTTCCGGGCTGTATGGCCATGTTCCAGAAGCATTCTCTCTTGGTGTTTCACCCACATCTATGGCAGGCCTCCTCAGAGGTTGTGAGGTTTAGAAGGAAGGTCAGGAAGCACAGTAGATGTGCTTTCCTGGTCCTTAGTTTTTCCAGTCTCCATGTGTCTTGGAACAGTTTCTCCCTGTAGAGATGTTCAATGTGTTGTCAAAAACTTTCATGGTTGGAATCACTGGATTGCTGTCAGTTTTCCAGGCTATGGGCATGTTCCGGAATCATTCTCTCCTGATGTTTCACCCACATCTATGACAGGCATCCTCAGAGGCTATTTATACTCTCATTCCCTGAGTTATAGAACAGTCTCCACCTGTGCATCACAGCCGAAGACAGGGCATGGAACTGATTCCTTCCTCCCCAGGCTGTTCATAGCTGCTCAGCCAATTGCAGCCAAAGGCTTCAACACCACTGCATAAATGTAATGTGTTTCTTTGTGCACGTTGACTGAGATTGCTTAACTTTGCTTTTGACACTATACACTTCATAGGCCCTTCCACACAGCCATATAACCCAGAATATGAAGGCAGAAAATACCACAATTTCTGCTTTGAATTGAGTTTTTTGAGACCACACTGCTATATAGTCCATTTCAAAGCGGAAAATGTGTGATTTTATTCAGTTCTGTGGAAGGAGCCTCATAGTCATAAATTTAAGCCCTGATTCTTTATTTTGGTCAGACTGTTTCAGTGTGCTACTTATTTAAGGTACTCATTGGATCTCTGTTTAGTTCAGCGAGGAACTCAGAACAATCAATATCTTGTAATGAAAACTCATTGATCCCACCTTTTATTCCAGGCCAAGTTGATAACTTTCATCAGACTTTATCAGGAAACTCAATCACAAGGCATTGAAAAATGTGTTTTAATCAATGGGCAAGATCATCAGGAGTGTTTTTTTTGGAAGAACTAATGGGGAGGAGGAGGAGCTGTAGGAAATGACTGTAATATACCAGTAACATTGCACTTGGATCTTTTTTGCATTTGAGACCCTGTGTTGGTTTTCACTGTTCTGCCCTATCCAATCCCTAGTAATCACGTTTGCTCATCCAATCAGTGACACCATAGTTAAATAGAAATTGCAGTCATGATCTTGTAGCTGTTCCATTTGTGGAGTTCCTATTGCTTTTTGTAGAAGGACGATTTGTCAGATCCTGTTGGCTTCAGTAGGAAGAGTGCTCATTGTACAGTCACCCTTGATATGTGATAATTTAGCTGCTACTCTTTCAGTGAACGTCCCACACCTCCATATGCCAAGCCTTTCCTGTTTGTAACAGTGTGGGACAAGTTGAGGAATGCATGTTATTATTCATCTTGGCTCTTACAATTCCTTCCATAAATGAGTACAAGAGAGAAACAAGTCATTAATTTTAGCAGGCTTGTATAACTGACAAGATTTAAGTCAGTAACATAAATGTATAAATTGTGGGGTTAAAAACTTTCAGAAGACCTTTGACAGAAGTCTGGGTTGGCATGATTTTTGCACACTAAAGCCAAGCTCAGTTAATGCTTAGTTGTATTGATTAATTTTATTTATTAGCAGCATTTTATATTGGCCATTAACAACAAGTTATCTAGGGCTCCAGAGAGGAAATGTTAAACCATAAAATATACAAAATATAAAATTCAAAATGTCATAACAGGTTAAGATAGCATCAGCATAAAAATTTTGAAGGTCTAAAAAGCCCTAGAACAGTTTTGGAAAATTATAGAGCTTTCACTTACAATTGAACATTGTGTAGTGATGGTGTTTCCCAACCATGATACTACCTCTGTGGAGCTCCACTTAAGCTCCTCAATGTGGGCTAGGAGTGTGTGTATGGAAAAGATGATAACACAATGCCCAAAAGTTGTGTTATGGATGCCCACTGGGTTTTACCCACCTCCATCTTCTATGTGAAGCTAGGAGGGTTGTGTTTTCATTTGGGTACTCTGTTTTATCACAGTTGCCAATGATGTGGCAGCTTCAGTCTGGCAGAAGCATCTGTTGCAACCTCTGTGTTGTCACAGAGACACTGGGATGGCATCTATGAAGGAACTAGGAATGATGCTTGCATATCCAATACTTGACCCACAAATCTCTTATTCCAGGCAAAGCCAAGCCTAGTTGGAATCTAGGAGCACTGTTAGGACAATCCAAGGAGCTGGAATGGGATAGTGTGAACAAGGAGTCAATATCCATGTGAGGGCAAATCCAAAACAAACATCAAAAAGACAGTGTATGGGGGTAAGCTAGCAGAGTCCTACAAGGGACAGATAAAACTGATGAGAGTGATTCAGAGCCAAGAAGTAGTCCAGGATAAATTAATATAGTCCAGCCAGTGAATTGAGTGAATGTCAGACACAATCCAAACCAAGACATCAAGATGACATGGTTCAGAGCCAGGTACTAGGGATGTTTCTAGCAGCTTTCCTTTTTCATCTTGTAGTTAAGGTACCAGGGCTCAGCTGTAACCATTTCTGTGAAAGGTTCCATCCCATGAGGAGAGGCCTTCTCTTATGCCTCTTTTTCTTAAATTGGCTTCTACTCCCAACAATACTTTCTTTGGGTGATGTCCTATATCACTTATACTTTCATACATTTTCCCCTGAAACTATTTTGAAAAGGCCGTCTCTAAATGATGGTAGTAGTGATGGTGAGGATGATACTCCACTTCTTCCCTAGAACTGTCTATACATGAAAGGAAGTAGGAAGAAACCTGGGCTCCAAATATCCAAGCATTTGAAAATTAATGCCAATGAATTGGGCCTTAGAACACAGTGCAACCTGGTGAAGACCACAACGCACTGCTTAATTATTGTATTTATAGTGCTTCATCAGTGATCTTGCTACCCTATATTTTACTGTCTGAAGTTTCCACGCCCTTTTCAAAGCCAGTCCCACATATTACTGATTTTTGTCTTTAATTAGGCTATCTTTTTTCCAGTAGGAACACATTTCAACCTAAATAGCTAAAAAGCACTTTGTGCCACAAAGTATTTTACATACCAGTATTCATTTAGTTTGTTCTCTAACGGAAAAACAAATATGGTAAGTTCAAAAATTCTATTTTCTTGACAGAGTGCCTTGCTTTGTTTGGACATTCTTTCCCACGGAGGACAAAAGAATGTGTCACCAAAGCCTTATATAGTAAATAGAAGAACACCACCAAAGTAAGAGACTATAGTCAAACCTCCACATTCAAGATTTCACTTTTGGATTCACTGATTTGATTAATATGTTCTCTTGAGGAATCTTTAGGTCCTCCAGTACAACTCTCTGGTCAATATCTGGTGAAAGTTACTTATAAAATTGTTGAAGGAGCTGGAGAATCCTGGAGAGCATACTTCTTCAGGCATTTATAGATCCTTCAGGACAATGCTATTGGAGGTTGACCATAGATTGTGCTGGAGGTCCTAGAGATTACAAGAGTCATGTTCTCTCTTGAAGTTTTTTTTTTTAAAAAAACCTAACGTTTCTTCCACTTTCATGGGAATCTTTTACTCCTAACACCAGTGAATGTGTGTGTGTGTGTGTGGGGGGGGGAACTGTTATTCTTTAGAGGGAATACCACCCCCCACCCCCCACCGTAGGTATAGGTTGGACACTTCTTTGAGTAAATGAACTAACCTTTAGCAGCAATAGTAACAGATCGAACCTTGTCTACTGTCCTTAACCTGGCCCATTATTATACCCAGGCATTCATTCAGAATGCTAACTGCCTAACTGTGCAGAGGAAGAGAGAGACGGGAATACAGTGGAAGACAGAGAGATTAATGAAAATTTTCAAAATATATAATGCCAGGACTCCCCCAGGTATTTCTGTTATAGATAGGGATGTATTAATTTCATATAATCTGCTTCACATGTGTTTTGGCAAGACAGATGCTCTTGTCTTTTCTGTTTTCACAGAGCAATCTTTCCAGATGTTCTCCCCCTATGTGCGGATTTGGTTTGCAAACAGTACTTAAAATAATATACATTTTCCTACTTACATGTATTTATATAAGTGGAAAGATACTTGATGTTCTCTCCTTTTATTTGCATCTCTTTCATCATCATTGTCATCACAGCCTCCACTTTGAGAGAGAAAAAGGAGGATAATTTTTGTGGAGATGGTACAAGGAGATGCAACTAATGTAAGCATCAATCTTCACCATCTTGGATCATTCAGACACATAAACAATTCCGCTATTTCTTAATTGTTGATGTGAGAGGAAGAAACAGGCCAACGAGATGTAAAGCAGAACC